GTGTGCACATTAAAAAAATTATAACTTTATTTGTATTGGCGATAGAAATAATCTGTAAAAAATGTTATAAAGTTTAATGTACCTAGTTTTAAGTATAGCTAAAATAACTAATGTGATTTCAGGCATTACTGTAAATCAGTTGGCAAATGTTTTCCGTGAACTGCAAAGTCGTATTACCCTTTGTATTGCTAATGATGGAGGACATGTGGAAACTTAAATAAAATTTCAATAAAACCTTAAAAAATATAGATTTACTTCTTTCTAATCCTTTTTGTAAATTATTTCTATCGCAAATACAAATAAAGTTATAAATTTTTTAAAGTGCACACAAACTTTATGGATACCCTGTATATTATGGACACTATTATGGATACTTATGAAAAAAAAAAAATTTTTTTCAGTGAATAATGAATTTTTCAAAGAATTGTTTTCATATTTTAAAAATTTTAATTATTATAATTTATAAACTTTTAAAATCATTTAAAATTCTGTATTAATTTGTAGCGGTCAAGTGATATTGTTATTAAATTAAATCTATTTTCTAATCACAAATGGAAACGTTCACTACAATTCAATAGCGCCCAGTATTTTAACAAAAAAATTGAATTTATTTTATGTGTGTATAAACGTGTTGATTTGTTCAGACGTTCATACACAATATTATCAGAAAATAAGAGCAGTAACTATAGTAAATTTAAAATCTTTTGTTAATTTTCTAACATTTTTTCAAAGCGTCTTCGTAAGTAAGATTATAAAGCCAAAGTACCTAAAATTCAATAAAATATTAGACTTTTAGGTTTTTAAGATAATTGGGTAATTACAAAAGACGTTTATAAACTTTTTGTAATTGTTTCGTAAAAATATGTTTACATTGCATTCGTCATGTAATTTTAGTACCATTATCTCCTTACTTAAATTTCGCAAATATCAGGCTGTTGATAAATGTGTCAATACCTCATAAAAACACCCACCTCCCTGTTAAAAAATGTTTTTTTGCAATATTTTAAACAAAACGTAAGTATTATTTATTTTAATTCAGATTAATTGAACTTTAAATCACTAAATTTTTCTTAAGTAACGTTTCAGAAAAGTACATTTTTCTTCGAGAGATTTTAAATAAAGACAATTAAGTTGCATTGATAGATTTGTCAATATGGACGATTTTATAGATTTTTCTGATAATCAAGAATAACTCCAATCAATTTAAATTCGGTTTGAAATACAACAATATATTTTGCTTATTAGAAATATTAAATTTATTATATTAGCTGTGAATTAAAAGTAAAATAGAAGATCCAAGAAAGATTTCTAATTTTTAAAATGCATGTTAAACCTTAGGTATCCCTTTTTTTGGGGGGTACCTACTTTAATAGAATATGAGAAAGAATTGTTTTTATTATTTTATATCCTATTGTTGTCAATTCTCTATTTGTATCCTGTCTACCGCCTACAGTATATTTCATTTATGGAAGCATAATTATCAATAAAACTTGAATAATATTGAAGAAAATACATTAGATACGTAGAATTATGAATGACGGAAAGAATACATGTCCATTTTAACGTTAGAAACAATTTCTTTCTTTCCTCTCACTTCCGTTCCTTTCTATTTATCTCCATATTTTCATTTCATTGGAGCAGACGAGAAGAGCCTGATATTTTGTTCGTTCGTTCGTTCCTTTCTCCGTTTTTTCTTTTCAGTAAAATCGACAGTCTCTGACATATTCTGGCTTTCTCAAAATCCAAACGGAATGGTTCATCATTTATCTGAGGTAATGGTAGATCGTAACTTACGTGCTAGCCAACTTACTAATCTATTGGGTTGTAAGCAGCGTTATAATTAGATTAGAGAGAAATTATTGTTATACTGCAAGATATTCTTTTTTTTTGTTTTAGAAAAAATTGTAGATAAATATGGCCCAGAAAAAAAAAGAAAAAAGAAACCTGTATTTTATTGGTAAACGCTAATCCATGAGGAGATGGACACTGGTCATTTAATCATACCATAGCACATCCCAAACAAATCTGCTAACAGAAAACAGTGACCCTGCTTTTCCACCCGAGGCCAGTGTACTGATGATGGGGTGGGGGGTATGCTGATGCCTGATATTTGGGATAAGAATGATCTTGAATAATAAAAAAAAAATTAATATCCTCTACCAAGTATTCCAAGAAATAGGCCTTAAGATAAAACTTTCCAAAATAGAATCTATGATTTGGAATAAGAATGAAAGCAGTGATGGTACCTACCCTGAATTCATCCTGAAAATTCAGCTTGTGGAATTAGTAAATTCTAAACACTTCAAATTCTTCGGGGTATGGATGAATTACAACAAGTTTAGTATCGGAGAAAAGGAAATTAGGCATAGAATATGCTGCGCTATAGATAGTTTTGTCTAACACCACAACTTGCTACAGAATCAAAAAATAACTTAAAACCGAAAGTCCTGTATTTAAATAGCCTTGACAGATCGATACTTTCATATGGAGGTCATGCCTGTCACCAAACTCGTTTAGAAGTGGTAGCGATGTACAACCGCTTTCTAAGGTGAATGGTTAAAATGGCTTTGAGCAAATGAAACCTGAAGGTCTTAGCAAACTCCATCCTTATTCGAACTTGGCTACAGAATCACAAACAAAAAACTTAAATAACAGAAACTACATCATTTGTGCATTATCAACAATAGCAACAACTAAAATGGATACCACGTGTAACTGGAAGTGTTAACAATGACATAATCAATATGTTGATGTTCTACACTACTTCAAACAAAAGGTTAGGAAAGAAGCTCCGGCAATCTTGAACTTTCATAATCGTAAAAACAACAACAACAACAAAAAAAAAAAAAATAAAAAAAACGGCGCGTCAAAAGGAGAGTTTTTTTCCTTGACACCGCTATTATTTTAACTACCTTCACTCCTCGGCAATGTGTATTGTTTTAAAAATCGATGATTAGAATTTTAATAAAACCTAAACACATAAAAGTGAATATATCCATTTTCTTTGTTCTTGAGAATTGACAGCAAATATAATAAACACTATTTATATATTAGGTTCTTTATTTCCGCTTTTTATTAGACAGTTTATTGGAATGGTTGGCAAATTATCGGCTAATTGCCAATCGATTCAAACTTTAAAAAATCGTAAATAAAATTTCCTTATAGATTCACATATATTTATAATTTAGTAAATATTTATAAATTTATGAATAAAGAATTACTTTCATATTTATTTTTTTTATAAATTGGTAAATGATAAATATTGCGTTATTTTTTAATACAATTAATTTTTGGAATATTGTAAATATAAAATTATTTTGGTAAATAATCAATCTATTAAATAAATAGTTCTTAACATTTTTGTTGTAAATTCTCAAGAACAACAATGTATAAATTCACTTCCACCATCTGTTTAGATTTTATTACAATTCTAATCATTGCTTCTTAAAACAATAAACATTGCCAATGAGTGAAGGTAGTTAAAATAATAGCGGTGTCAATGGAAAAAAACGGCCTTTTGACAATTTTTTTTTTTTTTTTTGCTGCGGGCACGAAAGTTAATATTGTCGAAGCCCTGATCAATACTGATCAATACTGGGAAGAACAATAACAGCTTGTGAGGAACGTAGTTTCCTGAAAAATTGTTGTAAGAAAAAGATTTTATGGATTTCAACCGACAGCAATACTGGCTGCTCAGTTAATGAATAGCGAATGTTTACTTATAAGGAAACAGTTAATATTACCATTATCATCACTTAACACTTTTAGTTATTGATTAGAAGAATTTATTTTCAATTTTTATTTTTTTACATTGTTTTCTTTACCAATCAATAGCTTTTGAACATACGAAGCCATCGATTTTAATGTTAATCGAATGTAATACGACCCCCCACGACGGAATATCGCCCCGTGTTGATTTTGACTTTTCGTAACCCTAAAGGCTTACGGCATGCCATTCACGAACGTGTTCAATTTACTGTAGGGTTTGTTTGAGGTTTCTTTTGTTTGTTTTTTTTCTTAGGTTAGTAAGTAAATGCAAGGACAAAAAGGTGAGAACATAAAACGGCGTTTGATTCCGCGAGGAATTAAAAGCCGTATTAAGATTAACACATTTTCTGTTGTTGAAATCACATCGTGGAGCGAATTATGCGGAAAGGCGACCTGTTAATAGGTCGTGGGTAACTGGCAGAATGGATCTGATGTTGCAATACCCGAAATCCGTAATGAAGACGGGGTAACATCACTGATTACCTCTACAGTTGCATTTTAGAAAGGTATTTTAAGAATTATCAGTGCTTTCTTGGTTGTGATTATGAACTTATATGTAGATGTTACACACACACACACACACACACACACATACGCACACATGCACATAAACACACACGCTAACACACACACATACACAGTAACACACAAACACACACATACACACAAACACACATACACACACACATACACACACTAACACACACATACATACATGCACATAAACACACACATACACACACGCACGCGCGCACATACACACACGCACGCGCGCACATACACACAGGCACGCGCGCGCGCACCCCCCCCCACACACACACTTTCTCGTCCCCGTTTAATTACAAAGCTCGAGACATCTGGCTCCGCTCGTCCTTCTGTAATAAAAAGGCATCGGATGGTGTGTAATATTTTTGGATATTTTCATGTTTAAAGACACAAGGCCAACATTCATTGCAATATAACAGAAAATTTTTGTTACAAGGATTTTGCGTAACAAGTACAAAAAGTTTATAGACATTAACTGGGTAATCTAAATGCCACGATGGTAAACTAAAGAATATCTCGTTTGGGAGTTAAAAAAATATTACCTATGCTTTTCGGAAATGCGTTAAGATGGAGAACAGAAACAACAAAAATGAATAAAACGAAACGTTTCAAATAAAATAGAAAATGAATAGTTAAAAAAAAAAAAAAAGGCGGGAAAGTAAGAGAAATAAAAGGTGTAGGAGAACAATTTAAAAAAAGGTTGTTTTAGAGAAATAATGAAAGAGTAGCGCCGGACAGGAGGCGGGGCGCTTGTCACTAAAGAAGGAGAAAGAGAGAGGGGCAGAAGAAAGAGGAGCTTAACAGGACGAAATAAGATTTTAAATGTAGAAGTGGGAGGAGACGGAGAAAGAGAACAATAAAAATAAGTGAAGAGGGAGAGAAATGATAACAAAAACATTAACAATAATAATAATAATAATAATAATAATAACAACAATAATAATAATATCAGCAACAACAATAATATCGATAATAATAAGAAAAAGCTGGAAATAAAACGCAAATATATATATTGTTGATAATGGTTATAGAACTCGTCGAAAGCTCTCGGAACAATAATAACTTTGGACAATTCTTTAATCCCCCCAAAATGGAAACATGCTGGAAAAACTCAATAAAAGATTAATTAATCTTCTTTGTCAGTCGTTTTCAATGAAACATGCCTGAAAAAATGGTTGCTTCCCAAATATAGACTAATATATATATATATATATACACAAGGGGTGGTCAAATCGCGGCTCGTGAGCCATATGCTGCTCTTTGATCTTTAATATGCAGTTCGTGGAAATATGTTGGCTGAACTCCTTTTTTTTCCATCACAGTTAACATAAAAGATAATTATTGACTGGCTATGAATTGAGACTCCATTGGATTAAAATGTAATTTTTAATTTTTTTGATGTTCATGGTTAGTAAAAATATTTAAGAATTTAAATCCTAATTTTAATGCTAAAGAGGCATTGTTCTTTAGTACTGAAGGAAGGAATTGTGGGAGGTAGAGGGATTAAATTAATTTCCGGTCAGCAAGGGTTACAGAGGAATGTCAGAAGACTGGGGTCATGGGTAAGGAGATTAAGGGGACAGGACTGACGTCATGTGCATTAATGCAGTGTAAATTGTGTTCATGTTTTGTGACTTTCTAGTATTTGAACTTTATCGTATGTGGCTCTTACATTAAGCAAGTTTGGCCACCCCTGATATATATATATATATATATATATATATATATTAAAGACATTTTTATGTTTAACGTTGTTATTTATAGATACAAGTATTTAAGCAAATGCTCTGTTTATGATAAACAGTATTAAATAAAATGAAAATTTCTCGGACATTCAGGCCGGTAAATGTTATTTAATGATGTTTATCATAAACAGAGCATTTGCTTAAATACTTGTATCTATAAAATAACAACGTTAAACATAAATATATATATATATATATATATATATATATATATATATATATATATATATATTGAATGGAAATGACAGAAGAAAGAGGTAAACAGGATGAAATTTCAATAGAAGAGTAAGTAAAGAGGGTAAAAGAGACAATTTAGGAGAGGTGAAGGGAGAGAAGTAAAAACTACTGGGAGGGAGAGAAGCAATTGATCAAGATGTAGAGAAAGAAATAACACGAGTAAAAGGATAAGTACTGGTTACGAAGGAGTAGGAGGAGCGAACAAAGGAGGAATAAACATATTAAAAAGAAGAAGAAGAAATAAAGATAACGTAAAGTCTCTTGAAATATCAGGAATAGAGCGTATTCAGACCTGAAGAGTGCGTTAAAACATGAAACAGACTGTCGCCGCTCGCTGTTGGTCTCAGTGTACACACATATCGATAAGAGCTAATATATATATATATATATATATATATATATATATATGCGCACACACACATACGCATGCATGCACACACGCACATACATACATATCAGAGCCGCTGGAGTCTGTAGATTTTTTAAATCGGCCAACTCCAACACACACAGACACATGCGCGCACGCACGCGCGCACACACACACACACACACACACACACACACACATATATATATATATATATATATATATATATATATATATATATACAGGGTGCGATGGATAAATTCTCTAAATTACGCAAAAATGAAAATAACACTGAGATCTCATTTTAACAAATATATTTACTAAAAATACACAAAAATATATTGAAATACGTAAGAGTAAATTTATTCAGATATTATCTGACAGCCATGACTGGGTTCCCATGCTTGTGTGTCATAGTGTAGAGTCCTGTTGCCAGATCAAGTGTCTTCCAGTAGCCACCCTCTTGACCTAGGACAGCACTAACTTCTCAAGGCACTTGATTTGTTGAGTCCGAGGCCCTGTGAAATGATGAATAGAGGCATAACGTCGTCATCACTAGTGATCACCTCAAACACCTACGTGATCACCATTAGACTCATCAATCTCTTTCTTCCGAATCCTCGGTATTGTCCTCAGATTATCACCCAAACATTTCCGGCCCGAATGCCAAGCAGTACAGCATGCCGTTTCCAAATTTCTGGTGGATTGAATTGCGTCATGGTGTTCTTTTTCTCACAGACTGTTCCCCACTGACCCTATTATACTGGGCAGTCAACAAAATAAAAAACAGACAACGCGCATACGCAAAATAAAAAAATATATAAAACGGCGACAATTTACCGATCGCAGTTGCGCATATTATATATATATATATATATATATATATATATATATATATATATATATAAAGACATTTTTATGTTTAACATTCTTTTTATAGATACAAATATCTAAGTAAATGCTCTGTTTATAATAAACAGTATTAAATAACATTTACTGAATGTCTGAGAAATTTTCATAGAAAGTATTCGCCATCCGACAGGATTCGAACCTGTATCCTATACGGAACCGTCATATAGCCTGACGTGCTTTTACCGATTTCGCCACAGAGGATCGATCGGTTAGCAATGTCGAATCTACTGGTTTTAAACTTCAATCTTCCATGACTCTCTCACGTACATTCATGTCTGCTCATGGCGTATACAAATGTAAACAAATGACGTCACACATTATGAAATGGACAAAGTCCGACAATTATTTTAAGACATTTTTATGTTTAACATTCTTTTTATAGATACAAATATTTAAGTAAATGCTCTGTTTATAATAAACAGTATTAAACAACATTTACCGGTCTGAATGTCTGAGAAATTTTCATATTCGGAGGACGAATATTTTCTATGAAAATTTTTCTTAAAATAATTGTCGGACTTTGTCCATTTCATAATATATATATATATATATATATATATATATATAATTATTATTATTATTATTATTATTATGCTTATTGAACTCAGGGGAGGGAGAAAAAACTTTATCATAAACAACAGAGTACCTAACGTTTGTATGGCGGTCGTCGAATTTCTTGTTCAGCTAAACAACATTCCAAAATTAGAAACATCTATTTCATTATAACAACTTTGTACTCATTCACCTAAATGTGACTCCCCCCCCCCCAACACAAACACAAATACCTTGTTAATTGTAGAATAAACATTTCTTAGTTACACATTTTATTCATGAAGACTTGCATAAGGAACACATTTTTTGGGGTCTAAAAATGAACATATTCTCTTAGTGTCAGTTTAAACTGACGCTTTTGTTTCTTTCCGTATTTTGGGTCCATTTAGCTTAAAGGTTGTATTTTCTTGATTTCAGATGAAATATTGGAATTTTCCAACCTACCGTATATACTCGCGTATCATGCGACCTTTGAAGACCTAATTTTGAAGCTAATTTGACTATAGTAAATGCATATATATTTTCGTCAACGGCGAATCCAGGGCCAGTAATACATACGCTAATTTTATGCCTCGTGTATGAGTCGAACCCCTTAGAATTAGCTTCAAAATTAGGCCTTTAAAAATCACATGAAAATTTCAGTAAAATTTTCACTTTCCAAAATTATTATTTATGATTATAGTTTAGATATATGTTAAAAAGATGGATTCGTATGAGAATATGGCTTAAAGAGAGCAGTTAACGATTACAGTTAACTCTGCTTGTCGACTCTCTGCCTCCAGACAAGGTTATACCGAAGGGCAGAGTCTCGTCTGGGGAAGTAGACAGCTACCCGACACCATGTATATAGTGTCTACGGGCAATTTTTACTCGAGCCTACGGGCTCGGAACGCCCCACGTAAAAACCAGTCTTGTGTCACACCCCGCCGCTAAATACCGATAATATGGCTTAAACTGACAACTTATATATTTTGAGCGTTTCACTTAAAGATTGTATTTTCTTGACTTCAAATAAAACTAGGCAATTTTCTACCATTTCACTTTCCAAAATTATTATTTATAATTATAGTTTAGAGATGTAAAAAAAGGCGTCAGTTTAAATTGACACCAGGAAGATATTGCTGAATAATGATAATAATTGATTGATTCATTTTCACGGATTATCAACCCTTTACAGGTTATTAAAAGTCAGATAATATTTATAGATTTTAAGAATTTGTTTTTTTTTAGATAAAAATGATTTACAGATACAAGTCTTATTAATTAACTCATAGCTGGGGAGAGAACAGATGGATTCATGCCTTTCCCAAGTGTATTTTCGTGTAAGGGAATATAACGAACCCGATTGGAATTAGAACTCGACTTTTCGATTAACAGTTCTGAGCTATTTACCATTACACCACCCGCACATCCAAGCTTACAGCACCTGGTATTCCCAAGCGTTCATTCATCAAAGTCATTTGTTCTCAAGTGGCGCGCCTCAGATGTGACGGGAGAGGGGGGTAGAAAGTGCGGCAAAGTGATTGAAAGGCAACCAAAGATTTAGAAACAGTTTCAAAAAATTCATATGCCAAAAAATAAATATGATTTCAAAATTTAAAATATTATTATGGATTACGTGTAATTCCATTCATGAGTCCCAGTATAAATAGTTATAAATAATTATTGACCGATTTTATCATTGTGATATTTTTACATTATAACAAGTATTAAGAATATAGTAACTAGGGTCTGCAAATTGCAGGAGAGAGTTATCAATCGTAATGTTTTGACTTTGAATACACGTTTATCTCCCCCTAAGACTGTCTCTGTTTTTTTTTGTTTTTTTTTTTTGTATTATTTTCAAATGTACTTTTTAACACATAAAATTTGGTTAGCCACGAGCAAATTTTCATTCCGAAAATGCAGCACAGTGAGAAAAAGTTTGAGAACCACTGATTTAGGTGCTGACCAGGCTCGATGTTGATTAACTTCGGTGATCATACGGGAACCGGTGTTTCAACGATATATGGCCGAAAGCCCCAATGCTAGTAAATGTTCCATTCCCAAAACAGATTGTAAAATATATATTTCCTTTGTTTCAAATTGGCATAAGAAATGATGTGGATTGAATTTTATTATTCTTTTCTTAATCAAACCAGCTTAACATCGGTAGCGAGGAATCCTTTTAATTTCATTATAATTTGTCTTGAACACTTACCCGGCGTAGATGTGTGCTTCAGCTAGTATAAAATATATTCTAGCTTGTGAAGAAAGCAAATTATTAGCAACAGCTGAAAAATAAATATAATCGGAAAAAATATCATAAGAGAGATAAAGAGAAAAGTTAGTGGAGAAGAGAAAAAAAGAAGCGTAAAAAATGATCATGGGGAAGACAGTGTTCAGAATAATGTCGACGCCGGTGTAAAAGCCACTGAGCATCAAATGGAAAGGAAGCGTACCGAAATAAGCCAGTATGAATTGTTTAAAAGGTCAGGATACATGACCAGGTGAAAAAGTGTTGCACACTCTGGCAGCAAAGAAATAGAAACAATTGAGAAATTTAGGATTCATAGCATTTATAGCAAGATACAAAATTTGTCGAAACCGGTATAATGACAATTAAACATTCATTACGTGCTCCGCGTTTGTCGAAACATGTTTATCCAACACAAGATGCAGGGACAGGTGGTTTTATACAACCTGAAAAATGTGTAAATATTTGGTGATGCAACCGGTTCATTTAAGATCCTGTCATATGATTCTTTCTTAGCACGTCACGCTTCAATTTATGTACAACCTTTACTGGGCGCAGCCATCTTTGATTTGGCGTGTATCTGGTGTTGGCAGCGGAAATAATAGAAACGAGGTAGACAATGACAGTCTTTTTTTTTTTTTTTTTTTTTTTTTTTCTACAGTCAATTTCATTTTGTCCTGATAATCACTCTGTCGGAAATATTGCTATGAATAGAAAACTGTGTTCCATTTATAATGAAAATTTAAATAATATGATAACTAAAAATACGATAAATGAATTTTTTTGCAAAGGACAGATCTAACTCTAACCTTACACTTAAATTCTAAACTCCCGGGAGGTTTTTATAAACTTAAGCATGGTTAGCACAACCATAATCTTATACATACATAGAGCTTGCTTTATGAAAAATGTCTTAAAATTTTAGCTGCATAAATCTTAAAGAATTTTTAAAGGGAAGAAGGACGTTGCGTTGGATCAGCCTCACTCTCTGAACAATAATAGCATTTATGCAAAAAAGATGAATCAGTCAACCATTGGCTGCTGTAATACCGCAAGTTTTATATAAGAGTTTCCTTCTAGTGGGATGCCTTATTGAAAACTACAGAATCCAGCACTTTGCCGTGTGTTTACTGTGCGCTAGGATACTCAGGTTAATCTATGAGTCCTACTGATACCATGTAACCTAACACTACCTGTCACATGGTTGGGTTATTAGCAACCTAACTGGTCATCCCTCCATAATTTTTTTTGGCGTGAAGGGTGGCTAGACATCCAGTAATATAAAAAGATAAGACCTGTTAAAGGATAGAGGAAGCCTTTGATAATCAACGAAGCCATCTAGGTAGGAATATATATATATATATATATATATATATATATATATATATATATATATATATATATATATATATCAGTAGACACTGAGATTAACACCAGGCGGCGACAGTCTGTTTCAACGCAATCTTCAAGCCATGAAGAAACTTGAACATTGTGTTGAAGCATGGAACAGACTGACACCGCTTGGTCTTGACAGCAGTGTCTAATTTTATATTTACATACGCTCTATCCCTAATATTGAACACTTTTACCCATACCATAGCATACCTTGAAATTATATTTTTATCACACACACACACACACACACACACACACACACACACACACACACACACACACATATATATATAGGATAATGAACAAATACAGAAATGTTTATAAATTTAACATGGTGCGCTTTTATTTAAGTTTAATCTGAAATGAAATATGGAAGAGAAAATTCTGATATTTTTTAGTTTTGTGTTTGTTTTTCATTGGTTAATTAGACTTCACGTATACTTGTCTTGTTTGGTAGCGTTCGTATATATAATTCTTGTGTGTTTGTGTATAATAATTCTAGTTGGTCTATGCGGGATAATGTGATAATGTGTGTGCGCGTGTGTGCGTCTAGTGGGTATTTTATTTCTGTCCGAATGTCGATTGGGGGATTTTTGTGTGAAGTAAAAGAATTTATGTTACACCGGTTGTGGTTAATCTGATCTTAGATTCTCTCAGTATTGATTTTATAAAAGTTGGTGACATTATAATATGTGTTTGGCGTGTGTAACCGGTGTAACCTAAACTCTTTTACTCCAACTGTTGAAGTTTCGGCTTTCTTATACCATTAGTAGTGATCATGTTGAAGATTTTTAGTCCGGAAAAAAATATTAAGAACACAAGATATATTAACAAAAAGATGTAACCGCAGTACCTTGTCTGTCGTTTTTAATATTCTTATATTTATTCCTAAGGTGTTATAAATAGAGTGCTCAACGTTATGAAACAGAACTATAAGTATATATTAGTGAAGATACATAACAACCAACGTCGATAACACTACTCGGAGTTTCATGCAGTTAATGCAATCTTTAGGTAAGAATTCATACCTGAAGATATTTATCAAGCGGAGTTTAGCTTGATTCAAAGCCATATGTAAGTTACATCTAATGAGGATGAAAGTGATGACACTAACAAAATTTTAGTGACGCTGATTTGATGTCAACCTTTATCAGACTCCATGTCTTTCTGTATGTATACTTTGGAATGTTTCTGTATGTATACTTTGGAATGTTTCTCTTACCTGGACACGTGCCTCTGTTAAGTCTATCCTCATAGCCAACTCTTCCCTGGAAAAAAAGAAAAAAAAAATTAAATTAGAATATTGTAAAAGAAATTAGAAACCACGAAAAGTTTCACATTTTCACATAGCAAAGTAACGGCTACTGGCAAAAAAAAAAAAAAAAAATGGAATCAGCGAACCGAGTTCAATTTTGGGCCTAATCTGTTGCGTTCATTTTCACACAAACAGCCTTGGGGAATCTATAAATTCATCTCTTCTTCCCCTCGGTTATGGGTTAAATAGCAGAGTAGATTGGTTTTTATCTAGTATCGTGTATCAACTAGTTTAAAAGAAGAAACACTCTGAATTTTTTTTTTTTAAGCATTACGCCCCGAGCAAGGCGTGAAGCCACTAGGATGCAGGGGGTTGCAGAAGATTCGGAGCGAGAGCAAATAGAAGTGATAGAAGAAAGAATGAGGAGAAGAATAGTGGATAGATCAAGGTAACTGGAGGTGTCGATTGACATTACATTTGAATAGTTGGAGATTATAGCTCTCAGAGAAACAGTAATTTGGAAGGGTGTTCCACAGGCGAGAGGTGCGAGATATGAAGCTATTGGATTAGAAGAGACGGTTACATTTAAAAGTTTCTACAGTGTAAGGGTGGGAGCGGGATGCCAGCCTCGTAGGGCGCTTAAATTAAAAAATAAAAACAAAACGAAAAAGACAACAGGAAATTATTTGTTTTTCTCCCAGAAGCTATGGCAATGCATACATAATAAAGAAAAGGAACATGTGGAGGACCATGAACACCTACGTTCGAAAGAGAAGTGGAATTTAATTAGATCCTAAGAAAACTAGATACAATCTTCAAAAGTTAACGCTCCGTAATACATTTTCAACAACACGAAGCCCTCAAACATCTCTACCAGGCAACATTCAGAAGTACAGATTTTAATCTAAATAGTGGCTTAAAAGTCTGTCTATATTTCTGAGATGAAGTATTATGTATATTATTTATATTTATTATCATCTTTGTCGCCATATTTATTACAACGTTTCGGCCGGAGGAAGGCCGGAGCGTACAACGGCCGAAACGTTGTAATAAATATGGCGACAAAGATGAGGACAATAGTCCGAATAATGTAAATAGTGGCTTAAAAGTTAGTCATAAAAGCTTATTTAAGGTACCAATTTTGACCTGGAGCCAAAAACAGCAGAAGCACTCCATGGAATATGTCGACCTTCTAGTGTAGGTTAAACTGGTCACCGTTCTGTTTAAAACTGTTTCAAGACGTTTTCAATTGAAAATAAGTTAGATGAAAAAGAATGGACAGTAAGGATCGATGTTTATGAACTTAGGACTTGTGTTGAATCTATTCTGTTGAAAATTCTATTCTATGTCGAATATTCGCATTAAAATTCAACACAAACGATGAAACTTGTCTGCATCGTTAAAAAGATACACATTAAGAAAATGTTCCGTTTTGGAGAAAGAATTTTAACGACTAACGAATAATAGATACTTTACAACAATGTGGAACACAAGAGATGGTTGAGCAAGAAAATTCAATCAGCACTAAGCGTGATCTTCCTCCAATCAAGGTGATACTATGCATATAGTAGAATTAGAAGACAGTCCTCTATTACGAACTCCTTCCAAAAAAAAAAAAAAAAAAATCGAAGGAGTGATTTGAACAAATGCTGCTCCAAATTAAACCAATTGAAGACGGCAATCGACAAAAGGCGTTAAGAGAAATGAGTTTAATAATCCATTCGGATAATACTCGGCCGCATATTTCTGATTACCAGCCACGAATAACTTAGCTGGGAAATTTTCACACTGCTATCATATTCACGAGGTATTGAATGTTCAACTTAACATTTATTGTGGTCTTTACAGACAAAAAAAAATCAATTAAATTTTCTAGAAGATTAAAAAAAGATCGGAAAAAGACATAGAGTCGTTCTTTGCCGAGAAAGATAAAAAAAAAAGTTCTGGGAGAATAGAATTATGAACGTACTTAAACAATTTCTTAGTGGTACAAAACTTAAGTATAGCATGAAAATCCGAAGACATATTGAAAATTACCATCTAAAAAGAAGCTGATGTAAATCGATTAACGTTTCTCAAAGAGGTTCGTTGATAAATTTTAAATATTAGACAAAATACTTGTCAGAAGATAATGGAACAAAACAGTAAATTCTTATTTCCTCTCAGTGCTGTTCACTTTAGACGTAGACTGACGATTTGATTTGTTGCGATTAAAAAATGACAAAAGCATGAAAAAACAAACAAAAAAAACAGGATTTCATTTAATAAAAATTAATTATATAATTTTACCTATATTATTATTAGTGTATACAAACAAAAGAAAAATAAAATATGTCGGCGCTACATGGCGGGAAAAAACAACAAATTAAATAAAATTGAATATTTTATTAAAAAAAAAACGATAGTTATCATAGCTCCAACAGTTAGAGCAACAATCACAACAAAAGAGGTTCCTTGCCGTAAAAAGGGGATACAAATCTAGACCTTCTTTATTATTTTCGACTATTGCTGTCTACTAATGTTTACTGAATGATGTTGCGATGAGAAGCCACTGAAATTAAAATGAAAGACATACCGCTTCAAAATTAATAAAGGTTTGTAATGCCTCAGCAAACTAAAAAAAAAAAAAAGAAAAGAAAAAGAGATAGTATGTATACTGTTAAACGAAATTAACTTGTTTACACTTAATAAACCGAATTTATTTTTGGGACAACCAAATGATTGGGAAAAACTCAGAAACTATCGGTAATGAAGTTCAATCAGGTCATAAACCCATATATATATATATATATATATATATATATATATATATATATATATATATATGCCTAAAAAGCCAGAACCTATCTACCTAGGTTTCACCGACCGGATCATCAGATTCTGAGTCAGAATTATCCTGATGATCCGGTAGGTAAATCTAGCTAGATAGGTTCTGGCTCTTTAAATATTCTAATTTTGCTCTGCTTAGTGTATTGAGCACTTTTGCATATCAACTTAGGTAACTGTGCCGGTGTTTTTTTTTTTTTTTTTTTCGGTTCTGGTTGACAGCTACAGTAAAGAAAGATACTACAATGAAAACAGAACAAATATTGTGGCAGAACCTAATCAAAAACAAGGGACACCCAAGATATGCAGGCAGTTGTTGCAGCATTAAACCAAGCTACCTCACATATACGGACTCCCCAAAATTCACAAATACGGTATTCCGCTCAGGCCAAGGCTACGTTGAGCATTTAAGTTAAGCTCTGAGTGCCACCCTCTGAGTCACTTTCTTATAGATATAATTGACCCATTAATAGGAAAGACATCTTGATATATCCGAAACTCCGGCCACTTCGTGGAAATAATCAAACATGTTCTCATCTAATCCAACCAGATGGTGAGTCTAGACCCGGTAAGTTTGTTCATCAAAGTATCCACGGATGAGGAAATATTGGTAGTCAGAGGCAGATTGGCCTCGGACTCATCCCAAGGAAAACGGACCAATATGGCAATAGATAAGCTGATGGAGATGCTGACATTCTATATACAAAATACACACTTCGGAATGTCAGACATATATCCATAGAATGAAGGCTCAGCAACAGACTCGCCATTATCACCAGCAATGGCAAACATATACAGCAAATACTTCAAAGAAATGTCATTAGAATCCACATCACTAACGTCAACCATATGGCCGAGATACATAGATGACGCCTTCATAATCTGGCCACACCAGGAAGAGGTCCAGCTACTATTGGACCATGTGAACTCAGTAAGATCATCGATACAGTTCACAATGGAGAGAGAAAACGACAATAAATTCTCATTTCTGGATGTACCAATATCTCGAACAGAACATGGGTTCAAGACATCCGTATACCGCAAGTCAACATTCACCTGACAATATCTCAACTTCAACCCCCACCAGCCATACAGGGCAAAGAAAGGGATCGTCCGCTGCTTACAACACCGAGCAAAAGTCAAAAGTGACAACACAGAGACATATGATCAAGAAATGGTCAGTATAAGCAGTACGCTACAATGTAGCATCTACCCCCGGGGGACGTGACAGCAGCACCGACAAACTGGGATAGAAGGGTACAAGAGGATGACACCACCCAGGAAACGGCTTCGGTCTGCCTATCCTATGTGAAGATATTATCGGAAAAATACAAAAGATCTGTGGTCCATATAACATCAAGACTGCTTTCAAAATTGGTTTTTACATTTTGCAGACACCTCTTCTGAGTAAGACCTCACTCTTAGAGAAAAAACATGACTAAGGAATGTGTGTATGCCATCCCGTGCAGCTGTGTTAAGAAATATAAAGGAGAAACTGGCCACCCCCCTTAAGATAAGACTGCAAGAACACAGTAAAGCCGTAACACGTGGGGAAATAGAAAATCAGGCATAGCTGACCACATATGGAAATGATTCAGTCAGCCATGCGTGATACATGCGTAGGCGATCATGTATCTTTCGATACATGACTGACGAGGCAGATTTTTTCTGCGGTAGCTTGCCATTTCTTTCTGCAGTAGATCAGTTGCTATCCAAGACTATAAAACCCCGTCTGTCCTGATATTTACCCATAGCTGGGGTGAGAAGAAGAGGATTCATGCATTTCCCAAGGGTATTAGCAGGTAAGTGAATGTTATGGATTCGACTGTTATTCGAACTCGGCTCTCCAATTCCTCAATCTGAGCAGCTATTCATTACTCTACTAAAAAATGAGGCATTAATTTTATAAAAATTTATACACTAATGCCTTCGAGGATATTAGTGTATACATTTTTGGCTCGGTAAATAAAAACGTTGGTTGGATCCAAAGACCCAAAGAGTCGTGAGTTCAATGTAGTAAGCAAAAACGTGGAGAGCTGAATTAAAGGGAGATAACTGAGATATAGCATGTGGAACTAGAACAGTCAACACCAGTGGACGAAATAAAGGTCTCAGTTTGAAATTCCAATCTGCCTGAAGAAGGCTGTAGCGTATAACGGCCGAAACGTCGTGGATATGGTAACGAAA